TAAAAAACATATTTGTTTTAATATTCATGGAATTCAATTCAAAATTCAATCCAATTATATTTAATTAAAAACATACAATCAACTTTCACAATAAAAGTTTATAATAAACAAAAACACCTACAACCATCCAAGCCATCGTCGGTTGCCAATTGTTACCATCGTCGGCCGCCAATCGCTACCATCGTTGATGTCGAAACGACATACGATCGGTCAAATCTGGCTTATTGTGTGCTGATCTGGTCGAAAATGGCCAGATATACGGTTAGAGATTTGACCATTGACGACCATATTTTGGCCTTTAATGAAAGCCAAATTCTGGCCGGGAAAAGGCCAGATCGACGCACTACTGGTCAAATTTAATCAGTTGTGCACCATTTCGACGACTGTCGACCACCATTCGGCGGTGGTGGCCAACTGTCGGCAGTCGGTTGGATGGGCAGGGGTGTTTTTGTTAATCCATAAATTTTTATTCTAGGAGTGTTCAGCTAAATTAACAAGTGGTTAAAAAATAATCTAAATATTTTCAAAAAATGTTTTCTAAAAATATATCAAACACATTATCAGAATCTTATCCTATTTGATCTAATCATATCCTATCTATTGAGAACAACTTTTTAGAATATTATATTTCAAATAATATACTAAGCAGGCCCTTAAGATTTTTTTAAAATCAAATAATTCTATAGCACATTAATAAGTTGTGATATTTATATTGATCCTATAAATTAATTATCATAACATATAACATATATAGTTAATCGTAAGATGGGATCAACAATGAATTAAAGTGGTTTGTTATATGTACCCTTACAAAAAAAATTATACATTAACTAATATTTATATTTTAATTAATTATTATATATCATTACCCTCACTCACAAAATTAGGTTGGTCCGTCCTTGAATCACTTCTATTTTCACGATATTATGTTTACCATGTTTAAGATTTAAATAAAATCGATCACTTTAAAACTATATTTACTGTTAGTGTATGAGTTTGTGTACTTAGGGGTATTTGGTCTTTGTACGTATATAAATAGTGTTACATTTATTTTGTAATATAAAGTAATGGAAAAGATATAAAGTAATGGAAAAGAAGGGAGATTTGCATTTTCTAAAGCCACAGTCACCTTGTACCTCAATCTTGTTGCTATTATCAAAAGACAACAATTTATTACGAGCCTCATTTGCTATATGGTTTGTCAACAACTAAGTTTTATTACAATTGAAACATCAATTTTTATATTTAAAATTTGAAGCTTTAGCACATTTTTATTTGATTAAATCATCATTATTTTACAGGTTTTTATTATTTTACAGAGTTTTTATATTATATTTTCCAAAAATCATAATTTGTGGTTCCAAATTTAGTTTCTCAAAAGAAATTCCAACCCACATTAACCATATATAATTGTCTAAAATCAAAATTTGGGTCACATCCTGATCAACATATTTAATTGGAAATTATAAAATTTTCCTCCAACTATTACTCAATAATAAGTTTTCTCTCATTGTTACTATTTTATTACAATTTTTTTCGTTTAACTAACTTATTTTATACTGGATCAACTAAATTAAACATGAAATTTTTTTATAAAATACAACGGTGAGTATGATTTTGTAATTTTCATCCATTAAAGTAAACATTAAAACTTAAATAGAATGCATGGCCACCATGATGTAGCATGCTAGCAGCAGTTTTCCACGGTGGCTGAGCTCGACCTTCGTCGACGAACATGGCCGGCTGCAGAAAGTGCGTGATTGGAATTATATGATAAACTTTGCGGGGGGTGATATGATGATTGTCGATGACACAAGCGTCGAACGATTGAATCGTGCCAATAGACGATGGTTCAGGTCCGATTAGCTTGAATCGTGGCCAACCACTGTAGCTCAGGCCTTGATTTGCCAAAATTGCAGCCAAGCTACGGAAGACTAGGCTGCGATTGGCCTAATACCAATGGCCTAAGCCTTGAACGGCCAAATCGCGGCCAATTTATGAAGGGTGGGACAATGTCATTGGCCTAATTATTATTATTATCAATAGTTTAATAAATAAATTAGAGGTGGGTATTTGGGATTGGGTCTAAAAACCCAGTCTTAAAACCCGGACCTAAGAGGTCTGGTCCCGTTATAAGGGTCTGGTCCCTCCATTGGGCCCCCCTCCAGTCCTAGGCTCGGGTCCAAAGTTTTTTGCACTTTTTCCTTTTGGTCTTTTGTATAATTATGTAAATCCCCATATAAATTTTGAAATAAATATAAATTGTAGTGTTTAAATTTTTTTTTACAAAATTTAAAAAAAAATATATATATATATATATATTTTTTTATCTGTCGAACAGCTTGTATGCACACGCACACCTTCATGCATGATCAAGTGATCAATAAAGCATTTATCTCTTTGTTCTGTTTTTTCTTTGGGTGTTATTAAAATTCAATTCAATTTATTTAATGGGTTTGATTTTTTAAAATTAATTGTTGGTGAAGATTAGTATTGTTACGAAATCTCAAACAATTAATGTAATCCAATTGACTTTGATAAAATCAAAATTGATGCCTGCGTGATTATAAATAATCAACAAGAAATAATTAAGAATAATAATAAAAGAAGAATTTTATTAATGTATTTATGATTACAGTGAAATAATTTTTATGTATCTTCTCCCACAGAGACAGGTTATGATAAGGTTTATATAACACTTATTTATATGATAGAGTTGAGGTAAGATTCAAATTAATAGAATTAGAAAGTTGTATGATCTTCGGTTGCCTTATAAGAGATTTAAATCAATCTGAATATCTTCCTTCCAAAACGAGCAAATCTAAGTATCTTTTTTTTTACTAATAGGGAATTATCGTCCCAGAATTTCTTGTATAATAATATGATTAGTGTTTGACATTGACTATATAAGAGATATTTTATCATGTAATGATTATCTCTGTCGTTTTTGGTTTTCTAGAGTTAATTACTTATAGGTCTTTATATCATACTTTCTTATACACGGTAGGACTCAGAATGAAAATGTTATCATGGTGACAACACTACACTTGTACATTTATACCCATTTATGAAATCTGATAGGTTTCATGGGTATTCATTATTCAATAAGTGATTCAGAGGTGGTTTAGTTGGGCAAATTCAATTCAACAATTGTATAACTGTTTTCGGTGTGCTTTTATAATGAACTCATGCCCCGAATTTTGGTCTATAAATCATAGGGTTCTGTTCCAGTTTCCTCATTAAACTAGTCGGTTTGGTTTTCCAAACGTTACTTGCAGATTTTATGTATTATATTGTGTATATTAAGTCACAAGTAATTATATCTTCATCTTAGTGACATCAGAAGGCTTGTACTTGAATACCTAATGTTCTTTAATGATGGATATTCTACGAATGGTGGAACCAACATGAAAGTCAATTCTCTATTATAGTCCAAATAGCACGTGATATTTTATCTGTGCTGATTTCTACAATTGCATCCGAGTTAACATTTCAATGAGTGGTTGGATTGTTGAAGACAAAAGATATTTTTTAACCGATGAGATGATTGAAGTGATAACGTGTTTACGGGATTGGATTCATGCAGAAAGAGGACTATAACAATATCCTAAAGATCCCAAACTACTCAAACTCTTCAGGAATACAGATTTGAATGATGTAAATATTGTTGACGATGAAGATGAAGATGAATAATTTAATAAAAAAATTATTTAATTGTTTATTTGTGAAGCGTGAATGTGTGAAATGTGAATATTACATTTATGTTAAAAATTAAAATTAACTATTAATTAATTTATTATTTTTTAAAATTAATTAAATTTTTAGAAACTACTAATCTACCCCTGGAAAATACTAAAAACCCCTTATAAAATTTCATTTCGCCCTAAAATATAAAAAAAAGATCAAGGGGGAAAAGAAAATTTTCAGGTCCATAAGACCGATCCTAGGCCTATAGGACCAGTCCTAAGGATCGATCTGGATCTTAATATTACTCATGGGCCTGCGTTTGGGTCCTAATATTACTTATGAGCCTGGGACCATGAGTGACTGGTCTCATTTGGGATCAGTCCCAAATGAGCTGAGGCTCGGGTCTGCTTGGGACTGGTCTTTGACTAGTTCTAAAATAAATTAATGAGGTGACGTAGCCAGTTTCTGTTTTTTTGTCACCGCTGACTCACAACATAATCCAAATCACGAGATTGCCACCTACATTTTTAACCTAATAGGCTAATATTCTCAATCTTGATACCATCACCGTCACAACTCAATCAAAGCCATCACCAGCCAATCAAATTACACAGTTTCAATGAATCATAGACTTCGCCCATTTGCTTCTCAATATCTGATTAGTTACTGTGAGGTAAGTATGTCACAAGCGGGTAACATTAGTAATGCTCCTTGGATTATCTTCTAAGATTAAGGGATTTAATATTATGATATGAAATTTGATTTTAAGAAGATTATAGGATCTAGATTATTGAAATGACAAATCAGTCCCTGACATGTAAAGCACTAAGTTTTGTGAATTTTGGAAAATGTCATATAACTATATCAATGTTAACTTTCATAGAAGAAAATTTTATATTAAATTTATATATTTTTGATGAATATGATGATATTTACTTTTATATTTGTATGTGTCAATCATTAGTAAATGTGACGGCATTAACTTTTTATTTGTACATCAGAAATAACCGTGAATAAATTGAGGTGTAAACATTAGCTTTAATGAATTTTTGAATAAAATTATTAGTTTGGTAGATTTTACCTCGTGTTTTAATCTAATTGTTAACTCAAAAAGTAAATTTAATTTTTTTTGAAATTAGTTAAAACATATTTACCTAGAAATGAGGAAATTCAATGATTTTTTTTCTCTTCCAAATCAAAACTACTTACTAGAGGCAAGGACTAAAGGAGGGTAAAATCAGAAATATACATTTTGGATAAACCAAAATAGTGTACACGTGTGATTAAAATGTCTTCTTGAAAACTAAAACAATTTTATCTAAAACTTGATTACGTATGCAGTATAAATACTTCTATTTCCACGGCCATTTTTCTTCTATCATCAATCTCAATAAGGCTGTTTTAATCTGTAAGTCTCTTCGTTTTTTATGAAGAAGTGCTCTTTTAGCCTGGATTAGTAATTTTTTTGCCAAAGATTGATTTTTTATTTGTGTTTTTTTGGATAATTTTAGTGGTTGTTTTGTTTATTAGTGTAATTTTTTGTTTTGTTTGATTTGATGATTTGTTTTTTTATTTTTGTTTACAACCCATGATTCGTTTGCAAGGTTTGATGATGGGTATTTTTTTATATTTTTGATATGATAAGTTGAATTGCTGTTTTATGATTTATGTTTATCTTTGCAGTGCTAAGTTGCATGAAGTGAACTAATGATGGCGACCAAGAGTGTTCTGTTGCTGCTGCTTTGTTTGAATGTGGTGTTGTTTCTGGTGGTAAAGAATTAAACTTTTATCTTGAGTTCTACTATTTTACTCTTTGTTTGAGTTGGTGTATACGTGGTTAATATGTATTTTGTTTTTAGTTTTGACTTGGATTGTGTTGGGTTTGGTAGAATGCTGCCCCATCAACATGCCCAGCCGATAATCTTGGTAGCAAATGTGATGAATCAGATGATTGGAAAGGGGAATTCTTCCCTGGCATTCCAAAGATTAAGTATGAGGTAAACAGAATTATTGGTTCAGTTGTGTCATTATGGTTCTCAAGTGTCTGTGTTTGCAATTATTCATTTGTTCCATATTTTTTATAGGGTCCAACTACAAACAATCCACTTGCATTCAAGTGGTATAATCCGGAAGAAAAGATTCTTGGGAAGAAAATGAAGGTTGGTTTCTTGTCTTGACACTTTTCAACTTTGGTTACTAAATTGGGATTATGCTGAAAAATATTAATGGAATAGGATTGGATGAGATTCAGTGTTGCATTTTGGCACACATTCCGTGGAACAGGTGGTGATCCATTTGGGGCACCTACAAAATTTTGGCCGTGGGAAGATGGTACCAATTCATTGGCTATGGCCAAAAGAAGAAGTAAGATTGGCTGATATGCTTATAATGTTTACTTCATGTTTATACTGCATTATTGTTTATAATTTAAAATGTACTTGTTATGTTATATCTTTCGGTACAGTGAGAGCAAACTTTGAGTTCATAGAGAAACTTGGAGTTGATTTGTGGTGTTTCCACGACAGGGATATAGCTCCTGAAGGAAAAACCCTTGAGGTTGGTAATTTATTTTCTTTTAAGAGTATTTTGTTCATTGTCTCAGTTACTTTTATTCTTTGTTGTTTTGTATTTTCCTGATTGTAGCTAAACTCTTGTCTATTGTATATCATGTTTATGGGGTGTTAAATATGTAACAGGAAAGTAATAAAAACTTGGATGAAGTGGTGGCCCTTGCGAAAGAGCTTCAGGTAAGTTCATGAAGTCATGTTAGTAAGTTTACTTAAGTCTTGTTATTACTTTATCATATGCTCGAGTAGAGTAGAGATGCAACTTTTGCTCTCCATCTGCTGTCTTAGGTTGTGGGCCTCAGTGTTTCGGAAAGGAACAAAAGAAAGGGAAAAAAAGAAATTAAAAGCTCAAGTCAAATACAAATATCCAATTTCTTCTCTTTAGCTATTTGACATAGTGGTTTTGGGGCCTCATACTATTAAATTATTCTTTTAGTTTTTGTACGTAAGTTTTATTTACATGGACTTAAAAGCCATCCACCTTCACATCCTTGTCCCCTGAACTAATGAAGCTAGAACACAGTGGTCGTGGAAGGAATATTTTCAGGTCTGTGACCAGTTTTCTTGGTTATTCTTTGGTTGCCACGTTGTGTGAGTTAAACATAATTTTTATCAACTTGTCCACTAGAATATCTTGATGTTGTAAAGAAAACTCCCATTCGATGGCAAGGCAATAACAAAAACCTCTGGAACTCTTTCTAGGATACAGGAGATGGAACCTATGATTTGATCTTGTTGTTGTGTTGGATCTAGATTTGTGTGACATCTCTTCTGCAATTGTTTTGTTCTTGGAGACCAAAATCAGAAACCAGTATATACTTGTGTGACATAACTACTAGCCTTATGAAGTCCTTTATCTCCTTTAAGGTTTAATTATTTGATTCTGCAGGGGACCAAGATTCATCCATTGTGGGGTACAGCTCAGTTATTTGTGCATCCTCGCTTTATGCATGGTGCTGCTACTAGGTACTGTGTATATAGAGGATCCCTAACTATTTGCACTGTTTGTTTTGTTTTCACTGAATGTGTCAGCCTATTTCTTAAATGTTCGGGAACTTGTTTTACAGCTCTGAATTAGGTGTCTATGCGTATTCTGCAGCTCAAGTCAAGAAGGCCATGGAGGTGGGTGGTTGTGGATACTAGGAAAAATTGGATATCTTTCTTATTTGTATATATGTTTTTCTATAGTTACTTAGCTCTCCAATTGACAAATTCCACAGGTCACACATTATTTAGGGGGAGAAAACTATGTGTTTTGGGGTGGTCGTGAGGGTTATCAAACTCTCTTGAACACAGATATGGGAAGAGAGCTTGATCATTTGGTATGTTTATCTAACATGTCCTTACTTTGTTATGCTTTGCATTTAAATTATTTTGCTTGGTATTTATGTTTTCTCAGTAAATTATATATTAGTAACAAGGTTTTACTGTCCTAGCGTTCTGTTTTGGTTTTAGATTTTATGATTTAACTGAGACTATTTGTTGTCTGCTTGCAGGCAAGATTTCTAGAAGCTGCTGCTACCTACAAGAAGAAGATTGGGTTCAATGGTATGTTTTTCTTCTCTCCATCTTAATAGATTTTCTGTATGACTGTAGGATGCAAAGGAGAATTCCAACAGTTATAGGGGCAGAATATTATGTTTCTTTTGTTTTATTGCTGCATGGAATATGAAGTAATTGTTGTGGTCTTTTTCATTTCCAAATTTTGCATTTTGCCCGAAAACTTAATGACAGTCATTTTTTCCTTCTTTGTTTTTCATTTGAATTTTTTGTTTCTTTTTATTTATTTTTCACCATGCCAAAATTCTAACAGGGATCTGCTTTTTCTTTTGACTTTCAGGGACTCTGTTGATTGAGCCCAAGCCTCAAGAACCTACAAAACACCAGTATGCTTTATTCTTTTATTTAATATATGGCTAACGAGGCAAATGATCCAGATATATTTTGACATATGGTGATAATTTGTCAGGTACGACTGGGATGCTGCAACAACAGCTAACTTCTTAAGGAAGTATGGTCTCATAGGTAATATCGCTGTTCACTTTTCTAATATTAGTTTATCACAATGCATGACCCTGTTTCAGAGGCAAGTTTAACTAAACATTCTTAAGTTTTATTTATGAAGTAAAATCGTATATTTTTATCAACCAAGTTGCAAAGTTCAAAGCTTGCTACTTATTAGTTGAGATGTTTATAGTTTTCACTCTAGCTTTGTATAGTATTTTAGTTTTAGTTTTTTGGCTAACTTAGAAAAATGTGAAATCTTAAATTTATCCTTATCATTGAGGTTGTGGTAAGGAGCAAGCTCTCATTTTTCAGATGGTGTACATGGATATTGATATATATGTTAGTATTGTTGCCTGTGTATGTTCTTTGCTCTGCAAATTAAAATTTATTTACTACATTTGTTGCATGATGGGTGTCTTTCCTATTTGGACATTGCTAATCCACTTGAGATTGTTTTTGGGATTAAAATGTATTTTCTTCTCACCAAAAAATGAACGCATATGACTCAAGCACCGAAATTGTCACCAACTTGATTTTACTCCATGAGCTATAGTCGGCCCAATTTAGGCTATAGCCCGTAGGACTAGGTTTCTTCAATCTCGGGGAAAATTTTAATGCATACTTTGTTTCAATCTTTACGTCCCTGATTTTTTGAATTTTTTCAAAATACTTAAGCACCATTAATATTTAGAAGACTTGTCCAATTATGTATGGTGTTTATATTGCATAACAGTGAACATCTAATATATTGTCGCGCTTTTCTTCTTGTAGATGAGTTTAAACTAAACATTGAATGTAACCATGCCACCCTGTCTGGTCACAGGTATGTAATAACTTTTGTTTCTCAAGCTCCTCTATGTTATGTTTGCTTGTTTGTTTTTCCTAAGTGCTTTCAATCAGAAGATTGAACTTGCATGAAGTTCCTCAGCTTACTGTAGATACTTGTGTACTTTGCAGCTGTCATCATGAGCTTGAAACTGCAAGACTCAATGGTCTACTTGGAAATATTGATGCAAACACTGGCGATCCTCAAGTTGGTACTGGAATATTAACAAGTTTTCGGCTTTTTTGAGTTCTTTACTTAATTTTGGATAAAAACTTTACATACTGAACTTGAGATAACCTGTGACTTTAGTTTTAAGAGCTGTTGATATCACCACAGGTTGGGATACAGATCAATTCTTGACTGATGTTGCAGAGTCAACTATGGTTATGCTCAGTGTAATCAGAAATGTATGTAATACATGCAACTTTTCAATTCAATGTGAAATTTCCGAGATACTAATTTTAGCCTGGATTTATTTGGTTAATTTCACTTTTGTTTATCACAGGGAGGGCTAGCCCCAGGAGGATTCAACTTTGATGCAAAATTGTGAGTCTCTTTTTTCCCTTATTGATCCTTCTCTTATGTGCTTGCCATGCATAAGATGTTCATGATGGATATCTATATTGCATCTTAATTGTGTTTTTTTCTCCCATTTCTTTTTCATGATGGATTTCTATGTTGTATTTTTTTCTTTTCTGCTCCAATTTCTTTACCTTTCTAATGCCCCTTTTGACATAATCAACTTTATGATATATTTTAGACGAAGAGAAAGCACAGACGTTGAGGACTTGTTCATCGCTCATATTACTGGAATGGATGCTCTAGCCCGTGGACTTCGAAATGCTGCCAAGCTCATTGAGGTGATACATTACTGTCATATTCACGAATATAAAAGCCTGTCTGATTTTCTAAAATGGAGTGCTTATTTTGTTATCAATGGCCTGTCAATGATACTGAATGGATTTTGTTGTCATTGGGAAGGATGGTTCTTTGGCCGAGCTTGTCCGCAAGCGATATCAGAGCTTTGACACTGAAGTTGGGGCTAAAATTGAGGTAACATGTTTCCCAGTATCTTACCTGTTTCGCTTTTGTTCCTATTACTTATTTGGCTAATATGAAGTGGTTCCATCTTATAATAGGCTGGTAAGGCTGATTTTGAATATCTTGAGAAGAAAGCCATGGAATGGGGAGAACCCAAGGTTCCTTCTGCTAAGCAGGTAATTAAATAGCCTCTAACCTCTATTGTTGCTTGTTTAAATAGTAGCAGAACATCGATTAACAGACAACCGGCTGTGAGTTAATGTCTAGCGACAAAATAGGAGTATAAAGAATTAAATAGAATGATTGAATGCAAATTTCATCTCTTTACTTGGTGCTAATAGGAATAAAAAAAACTAGCCTCCTTTTCATATATGATGGTACTAGTCTATCAAGAGAATTCTAAAATGGATAGTATTATTACAGAAATAAGAAAATTTTCGTTCAATTTCCTGATTTGCTATCAAACCGGCATCTTAGTCGTAGTTCTATACAATATCATTCCTCTATGTTTGCGTAGAATGGTATTTTCATTGACTTAATATCAAACGCCATTTAGATTGAATCTAAAGGAAATTTGTGTGCAATGTGGCAGGAACTTGCGGAGATGATTTTTCAATCTGCAATGTAAAGATAAAAGCAGCAATGAAATGTAGAGTTCACTAATAAGATAGAGAGACATTAGGCACATGAAGAAGTTATCTAAATAGTTGGTTCAGCCGACTCCATTTTCCCCGTTTCTGGTGAAATGGATCTTCTTATGTTTGTAGGTATGACAATGTTTTTTTTTGGGTCCAGTATAAATTATATCATAAAGTGTGGTTTCTGGGCATCTGTTAACTTATTTAGATTTTTTAATAGACTTTTTTTAACCATATAATATGGTTCTATATATATCTCTTATCTTTGCCTTTGTGATAATATTTAAATGTTATGTTCAAGTGCTTGTGTCCTGAGTGGATGCTTCTCTTCCTCTTCACCTTCACGCCTTGTAGCGCACAGTATTTCTATTCGCCTTACAACCCAGCGGTGTTTCTATTCTAATAGAGAGAGAGAGAGAGAGAGAGAGAAAGATGCTCTTATTCTTATAAAGAGAAAGGTACTTTTACATCTTCTTAACCTGAAATGGTTTGAGGAAAGGAAATATTCTTTTTGTTTTAGGGTTCTTAAGAGTACAAATCCAGTCTAAATTTCAGCAACAATCGGGATTTAATCGATAAACATTTCGCTTGTAAAATAGAGCAGGTCATAATTATAAACCTAAAAAAATTTTAAATAAACCATTTTCGTAGCTACTCACTAGATAAGCCGAAAGCCATGCTATAGAATCAATGCACTACTATAATTGAAAGAACCCAGTTCAGTGGCAGTTTTTTACTTCGTTTTTTATTTTAAAAAAATGACGAAAACATTCGATAATGTTGGATTATATGGTTGGTATTCCCTAAATTTATTACGAAAAAGACATGAAATTAAAGTGTGCAATGACGAGAATCTGCCTGCAATAAAGAGAAACCTATCCCTCTATAAAATTTTTGTCAGCCACTCATTACAAACATTCCCATTATCTTCAACTTCCCTTCGATAAAATTTCTTAACCCACAAAAGATCAGACAATATCACCGGCTTGAAGATGAGATCAATGAGAAACAAAACCCTAAGCTTGCTAATTCTACTTCTTCTTCAACCCATTGACACAACCAGTAGCCCGACTCCGCGGCCATGGCCGGACCAATTCCATGCACTTCTCTACATGAACTTGAGCAAAGGCCTTCTGCAAATAAGCGATCTCTGGTACGACTGGCCGCGGGGGACGAATGTGAACATATTTCAGAAGCAACTGGGGGTGCTTCTGTATGATGTAGAGTGGGACAATGGCACAACTTTTTACTTCACTTTAGGCGAGCCGGCGACGTGTGAAGTCATGCAGTTTGAAGTAGGGATTCCCCGGAGAAATTTTCTCGATGGAGCCAAGTATTTAGGGACTCAAACCACTGATGGATTCTTGTGTAATGTTTGGGAGAAAGTTGACTTCATTTGGTACTTCGAAGATGTTGTTTCCAGGAGGCCTGTTCGTTGGGATTTCTACGACGGTAAGTTCACAAATTTACGTTACGTTTTGTAATATCTTTTTTTTTTTTTAGAAAGATTGTAAAATATGTGATTAATTTTGCAGGTATATCTACACATGTTATTACATTTGAGGTTGGCGCAGTTTTAAATGAGTCATTCATTCAAGCACCTTCATATTGTTTCAGCGAGGCGACAGAGAAGAGAGTGTTTGATAGTTGAAACTTAAGCGACTATGATAAGAAAATTTATCAAGGAATTCTGGATTTGTGGTAGCTAATTACAGTGTAAATTTTTCTCTCTTTTTAATAAGATTAAAAAGTTCTATAAATTAATGTCCTACATTCATAATAGCAAGAAGATTGTGTTAATATTTATTTGTTAGTTGAAGGAATTCAAGAAAGCAATATCATTGTATAATCTATTATCTATTGAGCACTTTGTTTATTTATTTTGTGCTAGTAGAGTTGGCAAGGACCTTCCTCTTTAGCCTTGGCATGTTGAGATGTTGTCCTCTCTCCTGACCACAATCTCGGATTTTTTTAAGTGTGGCCGGGGACGAGTAACCGCTAAACCGTGGGAGGGGAATGCAAAACCTGTCCTTGCCTCATAATTTTTTAAAAATAAAATAATTTAATGTTTATATATTTTCATCGAAGACAAAACTGGGTTTTTATAGGGAAAAATACTAGTCTTACCCACTCTTTCTACTTATTTCTATTACTCACTTTTGTTAAAATGATATATAGTACTCATACTATATTTATGATACTCATACTATATTTTATATTTACAAAAGTGAATAAGAAAAATTAGTAATAGTGAGTAAGACTAGCATTAACCTTTTGTAGGTTTTCACCGTCACCCGTCACTGTCAGTCTTATTCCTGGTTCCATTTTCAGGTAGCCTACCTTATTGGATTTTTCTGTCGTCCCTGTTTCAGATTAATAAAAATTACTTTATATTTTAATTTCTTTTCTTATTGTACAATCTTCTTTAAATTTAATTGAAAAAAGAAAATATAAAAAACCTTATTATGTTGGGCCGAATGCCCATCTTTTCGTTCAGAAATAAACCCAAAACGGAAAACAGTTTAAATCCAACGGTGACATTGCCACGTGCCCAATGGCCCCGTCCTATTTGGGTCCTACTAATTCGATGAAATCAATGAAGCAAAACCAATAAAAGTACGAACCCAAATCCTGAACCGTAGACAGTCACAGCTCCCTTTCCCTTCGCTTCTATGATTCTTCCTTCACCTTTTCATCCCGATTCCATTCCAGTTTGTCTTCAACAACGAAGAAACACGGACTTTCAAAATTTCTTCTTAAGTCCCCCAACTTATCAAAATCATCTATTTAACCCCCGACCTTCACCAACTCCTGCAAGCAGACCCTCTCCTCTTTGACTCCAGGCACGTTACACACGCTACTTGAACAGAGAGTTTCATATTAACTGCATGATATTGAAACTAAATTCTTATTTGTTCTCTTTCGTAATCCACATTTGTGTTGTGTTCTTATACAGGGTTAGGGTTTTGCTTTGCAGATCTGATCCATAATTCAATTGTGAGAATCGAATTAATCTCTGATCTGTTATTGTTCATGCACTGAGGATACGAGATCGAGAGATGGGTATTTTGTTTACGCGGATGTTCTCTTCGCTTTTTGGGAATAAAGAGGCTAGGATTCTAGTTCTTGGCCTTGACAATGCTGGCAAAACTACGATTCTTTGTATGTTGTTTTGGGATTTTAAAGCTTGCCCAGTTGTTTTGTGATTCTGTGAAATGGGTCGTTGTTTTTGAACGACTTTAATGTTTTTGTTTTGGTTTGGTGGTGCAGATCGGCTTCAAATGGGTGAAGTTGTTTCAACTATTCCAAGTCAGTAGCTCTTTTCTTCACTTTTTTTAATAATGTTGATTTTTTTTTTTTTTAATTACTGTTAATATTCACTGATGTTGAAGTTTGGTGTTTCATAATGGATTGAGTAGTGGAAAGTTATGAATTTGATGTTGCAATTTATATATTTGCGTTTATAAGCAATTAAGTGGAGTATCTATAGTTTGATATAGTCTTTTGTAATTTACTGTCTTTCCTTTTTCTTTTTTTGATTTATGCAGCAATTGGGTTTAATGTGGAAACAGTGCAGTATAATAACATCAAATTCCAAGTCTGGGATCTGGGTATGTCATTCTGTTCCTTTGATATGTATATGCAACCGGCCATATGACTGATTTCTTTAACAGGACTTTTTGTTTCATAATATTAATAAATAAATATGACTTTCTTTTAAAAACCAAAAACATTGGGCGGTGATTTTCTTTTGTGTGCAGTTGCTCTTTTCTCTAAGCTATAATAATTGCTAGAATGTCAAGTTGTTGTTTGTGTCATGTTAGATTTTTGATTGAAAAGCTAAATGTCAGCTCAATTCCTTATTGTGTTTTTTTTCTTGATGTAGGTGGGCAGACAAGTATCAGGTAACATTTTGGTTTTGATGGGTTTTACTTTTTTATGCAATTTATATGGTTAGAGGACTGCTAAATTGTGTGATCTTGTGTTGTGCAAAGTAAATTCTGGTAACATGTTTGTGGACTGGTAGATTCTAGAGGCTTTTGTGAAATTCCGACAACTATAAAACATGTATCTGACAAGAGAATTTATTAAGTTTATTTGTAACTTGTCTCAAGGGTGCTTTTTTGTTAACTTCATGTGTTTCTTCTTTCTTTTGTATATATATAATTGCCTCCACCCTTAGGCTCTTTGTGACCCAGTATGACCACTATGACCACACATTCTTTTGATACGTAGAGCAAAATCACAGACGTCTGTATTTATAGTAGTCCTGAATTTTGTAGGTTTCTAGTTTTCTCCCAGTCTTTTTGGAAGACCCACTTCTGATTTGAGATTCAGATATTTTAACTGATGATTTTTTTCCCTGGTCAGTCATTTTGTAATTTAAGAAGTTAACAAAAAAAAGGATGATTTCATTCTACTTTCTTCATTTTCCCAAATGAACTTAGATAAAGAATTGAAGATGAGGAATTGAGTGAAGAGGCTCATACAGGAAAGGATTGACTTGAAATGAACTTTCTTCCTCTTTTTTCTGCATGACTTAATGACTATTTCTTGAGTTGATTGGTAAATAATTCATTTTCCCATCAATTGCACAAACTCATTCACCTGCTTATTTTGTCTTATGGCACAGGCCATATTGGAGATGCTACTTTCCAAACACGCAAGCAATAATTTATGTTATTGATTCAAGTGACACCGATAGGCTGGCGATAGCTAAAGATGAGTTTCATGCAATATTGGAGGTACATTTGTCTTTGGTTTATGTTGACTTATTCTTCTTTATAGGAAACAAAAAGATAACTAAAATAAGATATACAAAGAGTGAACAAGGAGCTCTCAGAAACCTCAGATATCCTTCTGAAGATCAAAAGAACTCTACACTCTGTGAATTACAGAGCTTTCTAATTTTGTCTATAGAAACTGTCTACCCATANTGTTAATATTCACTGATGTTGAAGTTTGGTGTTTCATAATGGATTGAGTAGTGGAAAGTTATGAATTTGATGTTGCAATTTATATATTTGCGTTTATAAGCAATTAAGTGGAGTATCTATAGTTTGATATAGTCTTTTGTAATTTACTGTCTTTCCTTTTTCTTTTTTTGATTTATGCAGCAATTGGGTTTAATGTGGAAACAGTGCAGTATAATAACATCAAATTCCAAGTCTGGGATCTGGGTATGTCATTCTGTTCCTTTGATATGTATATGCAACCGGCCATATGACTGATTTCTTTAACAGGACTTTTTGTTTCATAATATTAATAAATAAATATGACTTTCTTTTAAAAACCAAAAACATTGGGCGGTGATTTTCTTTTGTGTGCAGTTGCTCTTTTCTCTAAGCTATAATAATTGCTAGAATGTCAAGTTGTTGTTTGTGTCATGTTAGATTTTTGATTGAAAAGCTAAATGTCAGCTCAATTCCTTATTGTGTTTTTTTTCTTGATGTAGGTGGGCAGACAAGTATCAGGTAACATTTTGGTTTTGATGGGTTTTACTTTTTTATGCAATTTATATGGTTAGAGGACTGCTAAATTGTGTGATCTTGTGTTGTGCAAAGTAAATTCTGGTAACATGTTTGTGGACTGGTAGATTCTAGAGGCTTTTGTGAAATTCCGACAACTATAAAACATGTATCTGACAAGAGAATTTATTAAGTTTATTTGTAACTTGTCTCAAGGGTGCTTTTTTGTTAACTTCATGTGTTTCTTCTTTCTTTTGTATATATATAATTGCCTCCACCCTTAGGCTCTTTGTGACCCAGTATGACCACTATGACCACACATTCTTTTGATACGTAGAGCAAAATCACAGACGTCTGTATTTATAGTAGTCCTGAATTTTGTAGGTTTCTAGTTTTCTCCCAGTCTTTTTGGAAGACCCACTTCTGATTTGAGATTCAGATATTTTAACTGATGATTTTTTTCCCTGGTCAGTCATTTTGTAATTTAAGAAGTTAACAAAAAAAAGGATGATTTCATTCTACTTTCTTCATTTTCCCAAATGAACTTAGATAAAGAATTGAAGATGAGGAATTGAGTGAAGAGGCTCATACAGGAAAGGATTGACTTGAAATGAACTTTCTTCCTCTTTTTTCTGCATGACTTAATGACTATTTCTTGAGTTGATTGGTAAATAATTCATTTTCCCATCAATTGCACAAACTCATTCACCTGCTTATTTTGTCTTATGGCACAGGCCATATTGGAGATGCTACTTTCCAAACACACAAGCAATAATTTATGTTATTGATTCAAGTGACACCGATAGGCTGGCGATAGCTAAAGATGAGTTTCATGCAATATTGGAGGTACATTTGTCTTTGGTTTATGTTGACTTATTCTTCTTTATAGGAAACAAAAAGATAACTAAAATAAGATATACAAAGAGTGAACAAGGAGCTCTCAGAAACCTCAGATATCCTTCTGAAGATCAAAAGAACTCTACACTCTGTGAATTACAGAGCTTTCTAATTTTGTCTATAGAAACTGTCTACCCATATCAAACAAGAGACTACCAAAATATACGACGTTCTTTTGTTTTTACATGTTAATGGTGGGATTGAGGTAATTATTCATAAAATCCTATCAGATATTCAAGAGAGGAGAGTTCAAAAGTAGTTATCTTCTTTTTTTTTTTTTTTTTTGTGTCTCCCTTCTGTATGCCAATTTTATGGTTCTTTAGATTTTAAGGCATTTGGTTGGATTCAACAGATGATTGTCAATTACTCTCAAAATTTCAAAGTTCAAAATTCAATTTACAATAGCCTGACCTTTAACGGTACTTAAGCTGGCCTTCTGTGCGGTATCAACCTAGGCTTATTTGTTGTATGCATCATAAATTGTTGAAATATGATATACAAGCAAAGTTTGTATGATTATTGGTACTGTTATTGTGAATGGATCCTTTGGAGATTTTAAAGATGCTTTGTATATGAATGTTTAATAGCTATTGAGATGTATCACATGTTTTGGCATGCCTTGTTTATTTGTGTCCTCATTCTGTTTTTTCTTGTACCCTAATTGAAAATCGATGAAATAATTAGTCTTTACTGTTAGCCTTGTTGACTGCTTAAATGCCTTAATGATGCATACTATTTGAGTTTTCATCCAGTATTTTATAGTCCCTATTTTAAGTCTCTGACTCTTTTGGCAGGAAGAGGAGTTAAGAGGTGCAGTTGTTCTCATTTTTGCAAACAAGCAGGTTTCTATTAACACCCATTTATTTTATTTTATAAGATTTCTAGACAGCTTGGCATCTAGTTTTTGTTTTTTGAACATAAATGAGAATCATGACCATTTTATTACCACCTTTGTTGTGTTCTGAGAAAAAGAAAAAAGGTTAAAATATTATGGTTATGGAGCTGAGATTGTTTATTTATGGTTTCACATCTCCATATTGCTTTTATATATAAATTTTCGGCAGTCTTCTCCTTCTTCTTGTTTTATATTTTTTTCTCATCCAAATAGGATCTTCCTGGGGCACTTGATGATGCTGCAGTGACTGAGGCACTAGAGTTGCACAAGATTAAAAACCGTCAATGGGCTATATTCAAAACTTCTGCTACAAAAGGGGAAGGTCTTTTTGAGGGTTTGGACTGGTAAGCTTAGTAACACCTAACTTATATATAAGTTTTTTGGGGTTGAAGTTACCAGGTTTTGTTGCTTTCAACACTCCATAGAACAAACAACTATTTCATGCATCATACTGGATCTAACTCCTTTTCTTTGTACTAGTTGAGGTCAATCCAACTTTGACCTATTCTATCTAGTATCTACGAACAACTTTCCATAAACAATTTGGCTCAATGTTACACAACAGGATACATATTGGTGATAGTATTGATGAATTCACTTTTAAGAATTTATCGGCTTCAATAATTCCTTGAAAGACCTTTAATGTTAAATTAATATAATCTGGTCTCAAAAGGTTTGAAATCTCGATTACGTCTTGGATCTCCTTTATATTTACCACTTCTATGTAGCAATAGATGTGAAATTGGCGCTTCTTGCAAGAGTGTGGGAACTTTGCTATCATGCTTTAATCAATTATCTAATGACATGGATATTTCTTCTCTAATGTTGGAATAAAAACTCATAATATTCGAGAAGCTCCCGAACCAATTTCGGAGGCATTAATTCTTCAGCTATTAAACCTAAAATTTGAACAATACACTACTGTAGGTCTCATTGTCTGCATAATTGCAACTTTTGTTTGGTAGTTTAATGTAATCAACCCTTGGCCGTATTTTAGGATTACATTTCCTGTCATTTTATTGTGTCGAGTAACAAATGGAATTTTTTTTATATAATTGCAGGTTGAGTAACACACTCAAATCTGTAGGTGGCTAACTCATGGCAGAAGGGCACAGAGGCTTTTGCTGCTTCTATGTGATCAAGTTACATCTCAAAAACAAAAGGAACAAGAATGGTGTTTCTATGTTTGAATCGTGATAGAAATTTTATTTGAGTGCAACTTTCTCATTTCACCTCTACTGATGTATCTTTCTTTTCAGTACACCATTGATATACATGTACCATTTTTGTCAAAAGACATGACTTGTTTGGCACTTTTCTTCTGATTATTCACCATTATTTTTCTCTTCTCTGAGTTCATTTAGTTATCCCTCAATATTTTTTTATCAACCCGTTGGCTTACTTATTTTACTGCATTATAGTAGCTTTCTCATATCTTCTTCCGTACTTGTGCCTTCCTCTATCTATCAACTTAGGGAAATTAATCGTGTAATCCCCAAATAGCGTGTTTATTAGTTAAATATAACTGTGAAATGGGTGGAAAAGATACTTTAAGTATACGGGTTGACAGTTTTGTACGTGGATAATTTTGGACTGGAAGTTTAGGCAAAATGGCTAGTGGTATTTTTTTGGTCTGGAAAGGCCTCGTTTTATCATAAAGATATCCTTTTCTATAACGTCTTGTAACCAAGGTTTTAAATCCTGGCCGGGGTGAAACCCAGCAAAGTGGCTGGGTCTCAGGTTGACTTGTTGAACCAATTTGACTTGCTATGTAAAAAGGTTTGAAACCTAGCAAAAACACTTAAAAATTATACATAAGTTCTATAGGTTTGAAATCCTTAAAAGACATATCAAATTACATCGTTGGCGTCGACAACTCAAGCCAAATAGGGTATGTTTTTGGCATCGACAACACACCCCATTATCACGAAAACTATCCCCTTAGCCTTCTAACCAAAACTTATCTACCCCATTCCTGTTGACCTCGTCAATCATCGGCAATAGCGGATTGTTGCTGTTGATTTATTTTTGCGATTTCTTGTCGTTTTACTAACCGTAAATCACCTCTGTCGCCTCCTTTTGACTTAGCAACCCTGGTTTTAAAACTCTGCTCATAACCTAAAATGCTTAACGTGAAATATCAAATTTGTAATTTCAGAAATGGATTCGATTGAGAAGCTTGATGGGCACGTCTCCAGCCCAAAGAAAGTTTTCACCATCGCTGGTGGTTTCTCATGTTATCCTCAAACAGAGCCTTTAACTGGATACTGGACCAGTAGTGTGACCGGGCCAGTACCCTAAAAATTGCCTTCTTTCACAAATTAGCACTCTCTCTTCCTTTCTTTTCATAATGAAAGAGCACACAATTTATAAGGGGTTTACTTTGGCAGATCCCAGTGATATATAATTAATTGATTATTTATTTATTTTTTAAAAGAAAATTGTGAGCCTTTGGATGTTAGCCAACCCAGTAACGTTAGCGGGTGGCATGCAAGTAAAAAAATGGTAACAAAAGTTCTCCTTATTAAAGAAAATGGGAATTACAAGCTTGTAAGTAAATATCTGCATAACAATTGAGAGCTACGTAATATCATTCTTCTATCAGAATTTATTATAATTTTAGACCATCAATTTTGTCTCCAAATCTCTAACATAATACCTTTAACCACTAAAAGAAAATTATAAATTTGTTCTAGGGGGTTAAACATGCAGAAAATAATTTATGTGTTTCTTCTAGTTGGCTACCCAACTGCTAAATCAAGCTTTGAAATTACGGTCGAGATTCAAAATGATTGTGTCGACGGCCATTATAATTTCATTTGATTGCTGATTATATATATATATATATAAATAATCAGCAAGCAAATGAAATTATATGGGTACAGTAGATCCACGTCAGCCTGATTCAGTAGACAGCGCATCATTTTGCTTCCAATTATATGGGTGCAATAGATTCACGTAAACCTAATTCATGAGAGCGCGTATGCATGTTATGAAGGTCAAATATTCACATATTATTATTATTTGGTTAGATTTATGTATCTTTGACTGATTTTGTTCTGAAATTATAAAACTAGTCACTTACATCTCTAAATATCTACAAATAGTTTAAATTTCATCAAATTAATCTATATATACAAATAAGAGTTCATTCAAGAATACCAATTTATTATTATTATTATTTTCTAACATATCGTGACAGTAATTTTTAGCTTAATATGAATATATTTTGAGTAGCTAAAATTCAATACAATCTATACAATAAATACGTATTTGAAATGACATAAACTAGATTCAATCTCAATCGATAATTCAATAGCAATTATGCCAAATTTTAAAGGTTAATGATTTTATCCTATTTTGATGGTAAAAGAGAAGGAGATATTGATTAATCAAGAACAATCTCAAGAAACAACATGGCCCTACATCTAGTTCAATAAATCAATTTCGGTCTCAAGGTTGGGATCTATTGAAGATAATAATTGAATTGTTGGAACCTTTTTTGTTAACTTCAATTATTGATTAACGAATCTGCCTTTTAATTTGAATAAAAAATTTACATGTTTCATTTTCCAATGCCACGACAAATGAAGAATTTTGCTCCATCGATGCCGTACAAGTCCAATTTTATTCATTTTTATATATAAAGACAAATTTAATTTAATTTCTTTCTGGTTTAATCTATAATAACTTAAAATTTTAATTTAATTTTCCAATATTATTTACTGGTCGTTAATAATTAGCAGTCAACAGGAGAATCCAAGTTAATGGAAGAGAATAAATATAGAAATAAATAATCCTAACTTTACATGGGTATTAATGTGAAAACGTTGCCTACAAGTCCAATTTTATTAAGCCCCATCCTTCAAGTCTAGCATATGGGCGGCAAAAACGAATGCACTCGTGATACTTGCAGTGAAAAATATTAAATGGCCAACTTATGCTATGTTACAATCATAGATATGTCTAAGTTCATAATTTACTTATAAGAAAATGAAACCTTTGAATATATAGAGAAATAACATTGCTTTCATGTGTCATGTCTAATCCGAAATTATAGAATCGTGTAATCATACACAGATACACTTCAATTTCAAAACGTCTAGTATCACATCCAATACTTATTTATTTATACTATTTTTTTAATCCATATGATAAACACATAATATTACTGTTTATTCAAGAAAATATATATAAGTTGTATGATGGATAGTCATTTTAGATTTAGAGAGAATCCTGAAGAAAAAAACTTCTAAAATACAGAAAATAACGTTACTTTCAAATCGTAGAAGATCTGATTTGGAGAGACCATCTTATTTATTGACATTGTTAACATTAAACCAATAACATAGTGTATCAAATGCGTTTATCAGATACTCTTACGTCATATATTCCTATTCAATTTATGTTGTTAAACAGTGAAAATATTAATTGAAATGGAAAGAAAATACTTATTGGTTTGAAACTTTGATATACTGTAGAGTTTATTTAGAAGTTTTCATCTGTTACATTTATTTAAGGAAAATGACTTGTACTAAGTTGATTATTGAAGACACCTGAAAAACATGGGAGATAGAATATGACTCCAAATTTGACTTTGGAATCCGAAAATTTAAAGAAATAGGACAAAATGTTTCACATGTTTTCAGGTCAACTGACTACTTTGTAAACACAATGTTACAAACATTGTGCAGACAAACAAAAATTGATTACTTTGTAATCACATATAGCATGTATCTTGAGAATAGTATTCTCACAATGAAAGCTATGTGTTAATAAAGGGTAATATTATATATATTTATAATCCAATCTCATAAACTTTTTTCACAACTTCGACTTAACATCTCGCAATTAATCAGTTCGTAATAGATTCTACATGTCTAACAATGAATCTCATCTGCATAATTACGAACTACTATATTGGGGTTGTAAGACTGGATTGTAAAATAGCAAAATAATTTGTTAATGTTGGTACTTAATTTGTCATTAGGTTGTCTAGAGTTGTATAAAAGATCTTGGGATTTCGGTTTAAAATTTTAAGTTTGAAAAAATTAAAACCTATATAGCCTTAAGAAATCACGCTGGCTATATCTCTAATTTCAAACCCTAAGTAGGTTTTTGACGAATGGCTCAAATTGAGCCACTTATTATTTCTTTGTCGATTTTGATACGAAGATAAAAGAGAGCCTCGTATTCGATTGAGATATACATTGAATTAAACCATATATTTAATTTCAAACTGTTCTTGCCTGAAGGATTCTTGACATGTAAAACAGAACATGAAGAATCTATTACTTGATAAGAAAGCCTACAAATTAAACTTCGGTGGTGAAACTTTTAAATTAAAATGGCATCATTGATATTAATCAAAGAAGCTATAAAGAAGACAAGGATATATATATATATATATAAAGAAAATTAAATTTCATGCAAGTCAGTAGAGCAACCTGATTCATGCTATGTGCTAAATTTCCCTTTTCTCTAAGACTCAATTATATGAAGTGTGATATATACAATCAACAATCCTAACTTCTTCATCTTAATTTGTCTTTTCGTTTTGGTAATGCAAGTATAAGAGTGTCAAGAGATTGGAATTCCATGAGAAGCATATTCAAACTTGAAACTCTTTCTATTGATTTCATATATAATAACTATCTGTTGATAAGAGTAGAAGATCTGTTAAAAGGTTGTGTTACTTCATATTAGTTGGTAAAAGTGTGTCATTAGTTTGTAAAATGTAAAAGACTTGAATGAGTTAAAATGCAAGAATGTAAAGTAATTACTAAAACACTGTGTTTTAGTTATTGGCTAAATAATAAATAGTCGCTTTTGTTTCACAATAGTTTGTTAATGAAATAACAGTATTCTTCCCCAATTACTTGTTCTTGATTTTTCTTTTAGTTCTAGCAAATTCCATCATGGTATCAGAGCCCTAGACTCACGTCTATGGAAAATCTAAACTCTGGTTCAATCAATTTCACCTCAAGATCAACAGATATGAACACTGGATTCATGAATTTCACAACTTCAAGCATTCCACCCACACTTCCTTCTATTTCATTAAAGCTACTAGAAAAGAATTACACGTTTTGGAGATCGCAAGTCTTAGCAGTATTGACCTCACATGGACTCGATAGCTTTGTGACTGGGGAAAAGACTTGTCCTTCAATGTTCTTGATAAAAAAAGATGATGATACTGGTCAATCAGTAAAGAAGCCGAACCCTAACTATTTCTCTTGGAAGAAGATAGATCAACTTTTGGTGAGGTGGCTACTCTCTACTATCTCAGAGACTATGTTTAGACATGTTGCTAAGTGCAGTACAACTTATTTGGTTGTTGTTGTTAT